GCCAAGGTTCGAACTCAACCCTCTTTGGTCCATGCAGCGGAGCCTCTCAGGTCACTAAGCGAAACGGTGCGTTTAAGGGGAGGGACGCGTGGCTCAACGTGAGCCCTGGGATCCACAGACCAAGTCAATTTCTCCACGCAAACGAATGGTGAAGATTGTGTCTTCCTCGTTTCAAACCTGCAACTCACGCGCGCAAGCTCAAGTCTCCGGTGGCTTTTCCGGCCACCCCTGTGCAATCCTAGATCCTTCTACACACATCCATTGATCACGATGTCTACATGAATCTTGACCAGAATTTCCTCAGGAATCTAACCATGCCACTAGTTTATGCTGAAAACGCATGGGTCGTAAAAACAGGATCTCAACCGAAAATGGAAGGAACCCTAACTTGTCTCTAATCATCAAATTAACCACCCAGAATTCATCTACATGCTAAGGGGAGCCTAACCACATGCTTCTAATGGATTAAAAGTGCATAATTAAAGAGATATCTCAAGAAATTAGAACCAACCTTGAAGCTTGGATTGTAGTGGTTGTGCGCCTCAATTCTCTCTCAAACTATGCAGAATCCTTCAAGGAGTAATGGTGGACAATTCATGATGCTTAGTTCTTGCTGAAACCTCTTGATCCTCTAAAACGCATTTCCAATTTTCAAGCTTTTTCTTCACTTCACATCAATGGATTCTCAACAGAATTCTGCTCCAGAAACTTCCAAATTCGTTCTAAGTCTTATTTATAATGTGCTCAGATGGATATCCAGCCCAAACTAGGCCCAATTATTGATTTTGGATGTTCACCTTTCCTTCCAAATTTCAACATGGAAGTGTGCCTTCAAGCCTTACTCATGCTCTAAACTCAATCCAAACCATCCACTTAATCATTAAGGAGTGTGATGTAATGATTTTTTTCTTTTGGTTTTAACATATGGAGTGTATATGATATGTTTCTTAAATGTGAAGTAACCATCCAAATGACCAAGTTATGGACCTCAAATCCAAAATGTGGCAATTCCAATATTTCTAAAGCATTAATTCCATTCAAAATGACCACAATTTTGACTTGGAAACATGTTAATCTAATTTATTTTGAATTTTCTCATTTTAATTCATTAAAATGGCTTTCATGTGAAGTTTCTTCAACCAATGCTTGATATAACCCATATCAATGGACACTTTATGTTTAGAAAAGCTAAAAACATCATTTTGAACAACTTTAATGTTGAACAAAAATCCATTTGGAGCTTGGAAATAGGAGTTATGGCCTTATGCTTGAAATGACCTGTAATATCCAAATGACCAAAATGCCCTTGACTTGTCAAAGCCATAAGTTGAGTTCTACACATCCAATCATGGACTTCTAGTACTCTCTAGAAAGCTAAGAGAATAAGGAACAACATTCATGTTGACCAAAAGTTCATGGGAATCATCCTTCTTGGGCAAACGTTTGATGCAAGTTGGGTAACTTTCAAGTTCCCAAATTCACATACCTTAGATGACCTGTAACTTGTCAAAGTCATAACTTGAGTTATACAAATCCTATCAAGGACTTCTAGCACTCAAATTAAAGCTAAGATCATTATCTACAACATTCATGTTGGGGGAAAGTTGAGATGACAATCACATCTTGAGCTAAACTGCCTTGAAGATAAGGGTCAAACTAGGGGATTTTACACTGTCAAGCCTTAGAAACCCTAGCTTGAAACTTCTCAAACTCTTCAATCATGATGAGTTGACCTTGGAATCACCCTTATAACATCTCAATGTATCACTCCATGATCACATGGCTCTTGGATTAAGTCTCAACCTTCTCTAAATCATCAGTTGACCTAGGGTTGACCCAGTCAAACCCTAATTACACCAATCATGGCTGGGGCTTCTTATCCTTGCACAATGACCTGTCTAGGCTTCATGATGGCTTTCAACACTTCTCATGAGCTCTCTCAAGACCTCAAGTCTAACTTCCTGGCTTCAGAATCATCTGAGGAGCTCCCACAACTCTCAAGCTAGGAGGCACACCCTCTTGGTTTCAACCACTCTCTCTGAGGATCTTTTAACTTCTCTGACAAGGATATCAACCCTTGAGCACTTGAATAAGCTCCTTATATAGCTTCAAGGTCTTGCATAGACCTTGATTGGTAATCATACCTCTTGATCTCCTGCACACATGTTAATGAAATGCAGATGATAATGCTAATGTGAATGAAATGAAACATAAGCTAGGTAAAGAAAAGTTGGGCAAATTTTGGGGTGCAACACCATGCTCCGGCACCTGGTTTTTCCCTCCGTTTATTTTTTAAATGAAGAAGATAACGCGTGGCTGTTGGATCTTGTTTGATTGTTTGACTGGACCTTGATCTGATGGTCCTCATTTAATTGTTTTTTATGCTGAGTTTCATTTTTATGGCATGACAACATGTGGATCATTGGATGTTTGTGTGGTAATCATATCGTGTGGCCATGATGGTTTGAATGGCCTTTTAATGAAACGTTGCGTTTCATCAGTTTATATCCTAGTTGTTTGATGCGTTTGATTGAGTTTAATTTGATGGTTGTGACTTATTTGTTTTTTTTTATTTTAAATTGAATGCACGCGTGTCAGGTTGTGGACCTTTAGATCGTTGACTGGTCTTGTGCACGTGTGGCCGTGATTGGGTTTTGTTTGTTTGACTGAATAGAGATTGGATTGGGCCTCTGTTGTTATTTTCACCCCCTTTCCTGAGCCCATTTTATTTTGCATGCTTCTGGGCTGCTATTTACACCTTTGCTTTATTCTTTTTTTTTTTTTATTTTATTTTCATTTTGTTTTGTATCTGTTTTGAAATATTTCCAATTAAAATGGTTCCAAGCCTGATAAAATTCCATAAAAATATGTTTTAGACATTTTAGGATGTCTTTTGTTTTTAGGAAATTTTTATTTTATTTTTTGGTTTTATTTTCAATTAAAAATGGAATTAATCATTGGAAGTATTTTATTGGACTTATTTCTTGACATGGTTTGTTCTTGATTTTGTTTTAGCATTACCTTTTTGATCCAATAACTGAAAATTGATCCTCATATCCATGATGAGTTGATGAATTTTTGAGGACCATATTGCCCCTGTTGGTTGACTTTTGTTGCATTTCATTTGACCCTCGACAATCCTCATTCATAATGGAACACCCTTGTGAATCAATTTCTTTGGTGGTGTTGTGAATTGATTTTGATTGTGATCTTTTGGCTTCTGTTTGCCAACATGTTTATGTGCTTTTCTCATTTTATTTGATCATTTTTGAATCATTTTCCTAATTTTGAGGTAACTTGCAAGTCAAGTTACCTCCAAGGGAGGTTCATAGATACACATTGACCTAGTTTGTCTTGGAGATGACATTTTTGGATCCATTGAGCCCCAATGCCTTTTGATTCATGTTTCTAACATGTTAAGGATGATGCTTGCTCATTTTTAGGTCATAAAATTTGGTTTTTCTTATTCATTTGGTTGTTTTCTTTTGAGCTTTTAATTAGGGTTTCTAAGTGATGCATGCTTGATTTCCCTTGTGTTTTTGATTGCATTTTCTCTTGATTGGTTTGCTTTTGCTTTTGATCTCTCTTCTCTCATCTCCCATTCTGTCCCATGACTATGGAATCTCATTTAAGGCATCTTAGTCCCTCCTTAGGAGGTACTTGAAGCATACCTAAAATGATGAATCCATGAGGACTCTTTTGTGCTTCTCTTACACTTTGTTTGTGATGCTTATGGTTGAGTGCATATTATGAGTTCCTTGATGTCCTCATATAGCCTCCCATCCTCACTTTTGTTTTGAGCTTCTTTTCATTTCATTTAATTTGGCTTTTGGCCCTTGTGGTTGATGTTGTTTGACTTACACTACTAGAAAAAAGACTTTTGAGAAAATGTTTTTACATCGGGTATTCACTTGAAGCGATGTAAAAGACGAAAATATAAACACGGTGGCAGTTTCGTAAATAAAAAAAAATTTATGAGATCTTTTACATCGGTTCATTTAGTTAACCGATGTAAAAACTTGAAAAAAATTAGTATAAGGGTTTTTAAATCGGTTATAACATAAACCGGTTTAAAAAACTATGTTAAAAAAATGGAAAAAAATAATCAAAAGGTTTTTTAAATCGGTTATAACAGAAACCGATTTAAAAAACCATAATAAAAAATTTTGAAAAAAATATTAAAAAACTTTTTACATCGGTTATAAATAAACCGATTTAAAAAGTGGTGTTTTTAAATCGGTTAAAATCCCAACCGATTTAAAAAACCATAATAAAAAATTTTGATATATGTTAGTTCAGCGTCCACACGACTTTATTGATCGAGCCATGACACAGAAGGGGATTCATCACCCATGCTTCAGTTGAAATCCCTCAATCTTCATTTCTTTGAACACCAAATCCCTGCCGCGTCGGGATTCAAAACCAGCGGCAACGGACACTCCAAAATTGCCCCACCATATGTTACCCTCCTCATCTCTCTCTCACCACGACCCTCTTTCTTATGTTCTCTCTTCTTCTCCCTCTCACAATTTTCTCTCTTTTCCCTTCGAAGCTGCTCCGTCCTCCTCTAAGGTCTCCGCTGCGCCATCAGGGAAGACGACGTCATTCGCTCCATGCTCATTCATCTGTAATGCATTCTACTCTCTTTCTCAAACCGACACTTCGACTCACACTCTTGAACTAACATATATCAACGATGGTGATGCGACGGAAATGCGGAATTAAAAAAGGCTTACTTGCAGTGAAAGATCCAAACACTCTCACCTACCTGACTCGGTGTGTAACAACAAAAACAATCTACGTCCTCTTCATTCTTCAACTTGCACTTCAAATTAGGGTTTTCAATTCGATCCACACCCCCAAATTCCACACTCTCACGGTATCAATCAATCCTCTTTCTCTTCCTTCATCACTTCCATTTCACGATTTCAAAATTTTCCAATTATTTCCCCTTTTCGTGCCCTAATTTCACAACTCTCGCATTATCTTTAGTTTCAGGTATGGGAAGCAAAGGCCGCATGCCACCGCCACAACATTTACGCCGTCCGCATCCACTTCCACCAGGTCCCGCCATGCTTCACCACGACCAAGTGGGTCCTGCAATGCACCACCACGCGCTGCCACCTCCATTTGATCTCATGCCGCCGCCTCAGGCGATGGAACAGAAACTTGCGTCACAGCACGGGGAAATGCAGAGGCTGGCTACTGAGAATCAGAGGCTGGCTGCTACGCATGGGGTTCTGAGACAGGAGCTTGCTGGGGCACAGCATGAGCTGCAGATGTTGCACGCACATGTTGGATCTCTTAAGGCGGAGAGGGAGCAGCAGATGAGGTCTGTGGTTGATAAGATTGCGAAGATGGAGTCGGAGGTAAAGGCGGTGGAGCCGTTGAATATGGAGTTGCAGAAGGCGCGTGGGGAGGCTCAGAGTTTGGTGGTTGCGAGGGAGGAGCTTATGGCAAAAGCTCAACATTTGAATCAGGAAATTCAGAGGGTTCATGTTGATGTGCAGCAGATTCCGGCTCTCATATTAGAGCTTGAGCGTCTCAGACAAGAGTACCAGCATTGCAGGTAATTTTTTGACCCTTTTGTTTTGATTTTTGGCTCTGTAGATTAAATGCATAGTTACACATTTCTCTCAATAGATTCACCAAAAAGGCCTAGGTTGGGTTAATTTCTAATTTACAGGAATTTTGTTCGGATTGAAATAAGTTTATAGGTTTTCGTCCTTGAAAGCTTATATAGGTGTTTAAGGAGAAGTTAAATTAGATAGTTTCGGACAAATTTCAAGAACAAAAGCTGGTTTCAACTTATAAGCTATCTCTTTTAGGTTAACTAACCTGTCAACTCATCAAATCCTCCTACCTTCCCCATTTTGGCCCCTCTCTATCTCTTCTGGGACACATCTTCCAAATTTTGGCCTTTGATCCATGTTGCATATGGGTACGGGATAGGGGGCTTAATATCATCAAGCTTAACATGAATGTTGATTCAAGAAAAGAATTAAACTTGGGAATTACTTGCGTTGCACACAATTTATTAATCAATGGTGTTTTATGACTGAACTCTTGATTTTCTTTGGTGGTTGTGGCTGAAATTGTTTGTTTAATTTGTAAGATGATGCTATTGCTTGTTCTCTAAATTAGTATACTGTTGTTGTCATGCCTACTATTCTTATAAGTTGATTGTATTTAAATTTTTTGATTAATTTGTTAGATGGAATATTGTGTGTCAATATCTATTAATATGTTATATCTCTCATCACTTTTATTATAATGTTGATTTTTAGGTATATTCATCGTATGTGTATTGATACTTCACAATCTGAAATATACGGATTTATGGACCCTGCTATGTGTTTGTACGTTGATAATGTGCCAAAATCTCAAGTAAGTGTCAAACAATACATACAAGATAAGTTACGTGACGAAAAGAGAAAGGGCCACTTGCTACCATTTATTCATGGGTAAGTTTGTATGAAATTATGTTTTCAATTTTTTTAATTTTGGTAACATATATAGTTCAAATTTGGTAACATGAAATTTTGAATTTTATGTTTACACACATGTACAGAAATCATTGGCAATTAATAGTCATGTGTCCAAATGATAATACGGTAGTCGTCTTTTGTTCGCTTCATCATGAACTTAATCAAACCATGACGAAAATTGTTACAAGATAAGTTTATCTTTTATGTTCACTTCATTATATATATATATATATAATTTGTTACAAAAGTAATATCATATGTTATGTGGCTTTATATGAATTTTTTTCTTCTGAATTAGTGCTTTTGGTGTTCATCAAGCGGCAAATGGGAATAGAAAAAAAGGTACATGGCTTCAACCCAATGTAAGCGTGGTGTAAATTAGAATTACATATTTAATTTTATCATATAAGTATTCACTAATTATGTCATTCATTTGTAGACAAGGATCCAACCTAACTCTAATGACTGTGGGTATTATGTGATGAAAAATATGTTGGATATTGTCTCGGCCAATATAACCAATTCTTGGATGAAGGTAATAAAAATGATTTTAATTGGTTATTTACTTTACGTTTTGCAACTTAATATGAATTTTCAAAGAATAACTCTATTGTTACTTATGTGTTGTAGGTATTTGATGACCCAACGAACTTAACAGAAGATGATTTGTATGATTTGCGACTCCGTTGGGCAAAATGTTTCTTTGAGTTATATAAAGGTTAATTAAGCTTTTTGTTGTTGTTGTGATCCATCGTGCAAACCTCCTTATAATTTAGTATATTTGTGTATGTCCTATATCAGTACTTTTGTAAATCAATTATGTGTATACTAGATATTTGGTGCAATGAAATTAGATTTGTGAGAAAAATATGAAAATAACGACCTAAATATGGTCTATATGATATTGAAAAACTATGAAAATAGCGACCTAAATGTGGTATATATGATGTGCAATATAGAAAATAGCGACCTAATTATGGTCTGTGTGATGTTGGAAAAATATGAAAAATTAGGTACCAAAAAAGTTACAGGGAACGGCTAAAAAAAAGAAAATTAATTTATAAACGTAACAGTACTTTTTACATCGGGCGAATGCAAAAACCGATGTAAAAAACCACTTTTTACATCGGTTTAAACAAAAAACCGATGTAAAAAGTTCCTGCAATACTATTTTTTTTGTTTCCTACAGTATTTTTCACATCGGTTGAAAATAAAACCGATGTAAAAGGTGCTAGAGTAAAAAAAAAATTTGTGCTGACACTTTTTACATCGGGTGAAGCACAGAACCAATGTAAAAAGTGTCCCATGGGGACTTTTTAGATCGGTCCATTATATACCCGATGTAAAAAGTGTCATCACAAATTTTTTTTTTACTACAGTACTTTTTAGATTGGTTTTTCCACGAAACCGATTTAGAAAGTCCACCTTTTAAATCGGTTTTTCCTTAGAACCGATGTAAAAACACCCTTTTATAATTAAAATTTTCAATTATATATTCTTTTACACATCAGTCTTAAAGTTTACCCGATGTGGTTGGTGTGTTTCTTACATCGGTCCTAAAACCCGATGTAAAATGTCTTGACTTATTACATCGCCTGGTTTTACATCGGACTAAGAACCGATGTAAAAAGTCTATTCCGCCCGATGTAAAAAGTCAATTCTGCACTAGTGTTAGGTCATTTCATCCCACTTTTGGTGCATCTTTGTGTGGCTTTTCTTTGTTGTTTGATATCATCTTGTGCATTTCTTTTTTTCTTCTTTTCTTGCATTCCCATATGTATGCTTGGTTGAGATGAGCTTGTGGAGGCTACTGCCCCACACTATTTTCCTCCCACTTTCATTCTTACTTGTGCATTCTATGTTTGCATTCTTGCATCTTTTATGTTCTTTCTTCTTCTTCTTCTTTTGCTTTTCTTTGCCATGCTCCCCATAAGTTCTCTAACCTCTTGAGGTTATGATAGACATTAGGTGCCTAACAATGCATGATAACATTAGGTAGTTCCCCTTTGTATCTCAACTTTAAGTCCACTTTGCATGATAACTTTTAGGAATGATTAGTCTCCCATTAGTGGTCCTTTCTTCTCTTCTCATCTTCGTACATTCTTAACACACTTAATAAAGATAATGGATGTTATGCCATGAGCCTTGTACTTGGGAAATGGTGATTGAGCGGTTAGCTCTCAATTACCTAGAGTGTTTAGTATACGTCCTTAGGACGATATGCGACGCATTCGATCCTAGGTTTTAGACTTTAGTACAACATACATTATAAACACTCAAATTCAAAACACTTCTTCTATAAAAAACACAAAAAAACTTCAAACATTTTTCATCCTTCGGGATCTTAATCAGGAAAATCTTTTCAGATAAAAGAGTGTCATTAACTTTTAGTTCTACCACAAACGGTAACACCTAAGTCTCCAATGGTCGAGCTGCATACACCAACTGCTAGAACTACTTATTAACCCTACTCGGGCCTAAAAAATTTTGAACTAACCTGTGGTCTTTTTAGCCCAAACTACGTTTGCTCTGATCTTTCATACCAGATGAAAGTACGTAGGCATAAGACGTGATGTATTGGCGAGCAACCTTCCCCCCTTCACCCGTAGTTAGTCGAACTACGTTGACTCTGACTTTTTCATTGCACGAGGGAATACGTCGCCACAGAGCGGCGATGCTCTGTCGAGTCTCTTTTCTTTTTCTTTTTAACCTCGGATCTTTAGCTAGATAGATTGATCACGCTTTTAGATAGAAAACATGCGTGGATCCCGTCGAGTACGACGGACGTGAGGGGTGCTCATACCTTCCCCTTGCGTAACCGACTCCCGAATCCATACTTGGCTACGATGACCTTGTCTTTCCCTTTTCGTCAGGTTTTTCCGATCGTTTCCTTTCCCTCTCTTTGGTTTAAATAACGAAAGGTGGCGACTCTTCTGTTTTCCGCCGGGTATTTTTCGCAGTTGCGACACTTGGTAGCTTGAATAAGACCTCTTGCTTAGGATTAGAAACTTTGGCAATCTCCTCTTGCTAGGCACATCTTTCTTGATCCCCTGCAAATGGGCAATGATATGCAAATGCTAATGCTATGAGAATGCAGTGAAACATAAACAAATTAAAGAAAAAGGTTGGGCAAATTTTGGGGTGCAACACGTCTCTCTTCTCATCTCAATACATTCTAACTCATCTAATAAATACGATGAACATTGTACATTATGAGCCTTAAGCACATGGGAAATGGTGAGTGAGGCGTCTCCCCTTGCTCGTCTAGAGTGTTTAGTGTACGTCCCGTTTGGGGGAGACACGCGACGCATTCACTCCTATGTCTTAGTCTTTAGTGCGACGTGAATCACAAACCGAATTAATTCATTTCACTAAAAAACACAAAAACAAACTTCAAACCTTTTTCCTTCGGGATTAATTTTAAACCTTTTTCGTAAAAAGAGTGTTGTCAAGCTTTGGTTCTACCGCAAACAGGCATCGTCCCTAACTGCTAGAATGAAGGTTTAACCCTACTCGATTAAAACACTTAATCAACCTGTGGTTTTGTGTCAGCCCGAACTACGTTTGCTCTGATTTCTCGTACCAGATGAGAATACGTAGGCACAAGACGGTGATGTCTCGGTGAGCAACCTTCCCCACCTTCACCCGTAGTTTTCTGAACTACGTTGACTTTGACTTTCCCATTGCACGAGGGAATACGTAGGCATAGAGCGATGATGCTCTATCGAGTCTCTTTTCTTTTCTTTCGTCCTAAGCCTGTAGCATAGATAGATAAACACACCCTTTGATTAGACAACAAGCATGGATCCCGTCGAGTACGACGGACGTGAGGGGTGCTAATACCTTCCCCTTGCGTATCCGACTCCCGAATCCATGATTTGGTTGCGATGACCTTGTCTTTTCCCTTTTCGTCAGGTTTTCTATGATCATTTCCTTTCCTTCTCTTTGGGATAAATATCTGTTGCACCCTAAAATTTGCCCACCGGTTTTTCGACTTTGACTGGCTTTTGCTTTGTTTTCATCTGCATTTCATTTAGGTTGCATTTTGCCCGTGTTACCGGTCGGATTGAATTTATCAGGATTTT